AAATCTAAGCAAATGATCTTAGGGGTTTTATACTGGCCTCACTCAGGAGAATTTCAGATAAATCACATCCACAGCACTCTTCTGTGCTCCATGATCCACAAGAGCCTGAGTTAATGGTCCAGTTGCAACTGTCAGTGTCATGCTAGTCTTCGAGGGGAGACCTGCAGCTGACTGAACACTGCCCATTTGTAGATTATAGATGCATACTTTTATTTCTGACACAGGTCTCAGCTATTCAAGCAGAAGTGTCTGTGGCTGGGAATGCTCTGGGATACTTGAGGCTATTGGCACAGTGCACGACTTGTGGGAGAACCACAGCCTTGTGTAGCATGGTCTGTGGTGAGGACATGCTATCATGCCTACCACAACACTAGGCACTGGTCTAGTGGCAGCTAAATCCTTCTCTAGGGACTCTGATAGACAATTAAGACACATGCATGAAAGTGTTTCATGTGTAGGCAGTGTCTGGACTCCTGTTGTATCCCTGGAGATGTAGGCAATGAGGAGGTCTCTGCTTCCATGACCTAGATCACTCTCCATGAATTCCACTGCCTGGGACACACAGTGGTCCTACAGACACCTATGCTCATCTCTGGACAGATCCCTGTATTGCAGTAGTGTTGACTGTTCATTACTTTTGTGTGGTAAAGGAAAGAGAGTAAGGGAAACATATACGTAGTCACAGGAAACATTTTTAAGCATTGGTTGTGTTTTGATCCCATGAAGTGAAGGTGGCTGTCCCATAGTTGGACCTGGGAGAAGTTGGATATTTCAGCCCAGCTTAGACCAACAAAGCCTACTGTGCTGAATGATAATGGATGAGGAGAAATGGAGCAGTAACAACTGTTACTGCCATTCGTGCTGCATGTTATGCACTTTTTCTTCAATGATTTTTTTTATTTTTGCATCGCTTAATTGTTGCAGTCCAAACTAGGACATGTACCCACTGTTGTGGACAGACTTTCCTGGCATCATTATCCTTACATGTCTTCCAAACATAGTTCTTAAATCATTCTAGGGACTTTGTACTGGGGTGAATTTTGACTTCGATGCTTGAGATAGATTGTTTTTCTGTCCCTGGAAACATCAGCATTTGAATGACTGAGTGCATGAACTGATGGTGGGAATTAGGACTGAAAGCCTTGATTTCGCAATGTGACAGGAAGAAAACTCAGACAAGGATAGTATAGCATTATAGTCTGGTTCTGCTTTTCATCTTGGCTGTTTTTCAGGGAGAGAGAGCAGAACAGCAGAGTTTGCTGGAAAGCACATTCATTTTCACAGCTCTTTGTATGCTCATCTGCAGTTCAGGGGATTTAGTGATCCAAATTATGGTGGAACATATCTTTAATCTTTCCCCAAACCCAGACAATGTGTATGAAAACATACATACCCACAAATATTTTTTCTCTTATGCTTAAATAGGTAGAGGAGATAGTACTGCTTGACTTCACAATCTCTACCCTGAAAAAGTTCCAACCTTTTCAGAAACAACAGAGTGGATGCTGGTGATACGTGTGTGTTACAATACTTTCTGTCTCATCCTTTTGGCATCTAAAGTCTCTGTCGTGGGTATCCCTGGAAACGTGACTCTTATCCTTTACTGTTAAGTACTCATCCAAGGTCTGATAGCTTTCATAGAAAACAGAGGGATTTACTGCTTTCTAAGTCATCATAGTAGTTTTGCATTGCAATGTCAAAGAGGAAAAGAAAACCACAATATGGAATTTGTTGTTAGCAAAATGTCTGTATTAAAATACAAGGAAAACATTCCTGTGGGGAACAGTAATTAATAAACTCTCTTTTGTATTGGTACTAAAAGCACTGCAAGTTCAATTTTCCGAACAGATCACAATGTTTTTGAGGAATAAATTCCACCACTGTCATTCTGAAAGTCTCCCTAAAGAACAAAGATGTCAGACAATGGTACCATGCACCCTACCGGGGTTCCAGCATCATTACACTGGTTTACTGCAGCACCTCCCATCTGAACTGGGTTAGATCTGGACACTGCTTGGAGACGGCAAGCTCACAGGGCTTCCTATTGTGTTTGAGAAGGTGATGATTGCATTGGAACCCTTGGTGTTCTTGTTCATACCCAGGATGTCCACAGTGGTTTGCTCCGGTTCAGTTTTCCTGAAGATATTTTTCATGGTTGACTGGAAGTTGTTGGTGACAAAGCAGTAGACAATAGGGTCCATGCAGCTGTTGAGACTACTCAGAGTCACTGTCACGTGGTAGACAAGAAGGCTGACATTGTGAGGCATGTCTGGGTTGATGGAGATCACCACCTGTCGCACATGGAAAGGAGTGAAGCAGATCATGAAGATGATGAGGACGGTGATAAGGAGTTGCACAGCCTTCATTCTCCTCTCCCGACTCTGGTGCATGAGGCTGGGCTTGGACAGAGCACACATAATCCTGGTGGTGAAGAAGATGATTATGATGAGGGGGAAGAAGTACTCGCAGACCATCAGGACCAGAATCTCAGAGATGCAGCACTGGGCAAACTGTATTGCCATGATGAGGATGGAGAAAGTCACTACAGTTGCAAAGATCCAAATGAAGACACAGATCCCCTTGGCACAGGTGGGATTCCTCCATTTTCGTGAGGCTTGCACCTGTACGATAGCCAGGTAGCGGTCAACACAGATGCATGTCAAGAAGAGGATGCTACAGTACATGTTGACAAAGTAGCCAAAGATATGAACAAAGGAGCAATTCAGGCAGTCCTCTGCAGTATAGAACATGATGATCCGTACAGGTAAGGAGAAGCCTACCAAGAGATCGGTAACAATCAAGTTGATGGTGTAAATAACAGAGGTGGTTTTTGTCTTAGTACGGAAGCAGAATACATACAATGCCAAGCTGTTCAGCACAACACCCACCAGGAAGATAATGGCATTGACAACTATCAGGGCAATCCATAGGCTGTAAAATTGTTCGTACAATTCTTTGTCAAGGTGGATGAACTTGGAGAACATGTAGATGCTGGAGTTGGGTTGCCGGGTAGAGTTGGTATGGTCAAGAGCTGACACTTGGGTGGAAGAGGTTGGCATGGTCATTGGCTTTCCAGCAATCTGGAAGAAAAGATACAGGGATATACTGATTTGTATGCTGCAGAACAGAATATTGTCATATAAGAACATTTTAACCAATATATTTGCACAGCCTCAGTAGTTACATGTACTGCTGTACTCAATAGGCATCTTATCTGTCAATATATGAAGTGGCAGGCTGGAATTGTCCCTAATTGCTAGGAAAATATCTGCTTTTATAACAATTCTAGTTCGGTGGTTCCAGCTGGGTGTTTTGGAGGCAATGTACAATCTCCACTTCAAGTTGCTCCCGTTTAAAAGTGATTTTAAGGACTGTGCAAGGACAAAGAAGTAAGGTATGCCACAGGGAGCAGAGAGGAGAAGGGAAAATCGAGGTGTGTGGGTCATGCTTGGGTCAGCCACGTGGAAAATGGTCATTGGTACAATCACAGCCCCATCATCTGACTCCTAGAATATTGCATCCCTTCCCTTGGCCAGGTGATCCCATAGAGAGCTGTGCACAGCAGCATTTTCAGGAATTGTGAAGCTTTCCTAAAATCAAAGGATGGCTTTTTTCAGGAAAACACAAGCAAGTTGTGTGGCATTTTCTAGGTATCTGTGCTCACAGCAACAGCAGCCGGGAGATTTCAACTAAGGGTGTCAGACACTACTCCTGCCAAAGTTTGACAGTTTAATTTGCAAATCATTCCTGACTTACACACTTATTTTAAACTGATTTGTATATTAGAAGATAAAAAAAAAAAAAGAAAAAAAGCCCAATATATACAGAGACTTGGCTGGTTTCAATAAAAATAAATGGTTGAAAAATGTCTGGAATATCTCAAAAGAAGCTGAACAGGACTGTGAGGTTAAAAAAATCAGCTTGAATCAGCAGAGACTAACGCTGAAAGATTTGAGTTATGAGGGTTTGAAATCCTTGCTACCAAAGAGCCAAGTGCAAAAGGACTGGTAGACAAGGAGCTACAAACACATCTTCCAGCACTTGCAGGAAGTTTTTACCTCATTTTCATATGGAACTTCTTGTGTTCCAGTTTGTGCCCATTGCCCTGTTTTCTGTTACTGGGCACCACTGAAAAGAATCTGGCTGCATCCATCCTGCCCTTTGAATATATCTCATTGATGAGATCCTTACTCAGTCTCTCAGCCCATCTTCGCTTTTGTTTGTTTGCAATAAAAACACAATACTTGATGGCTTTTCTAACAGCGAAGGATCCACTGTAATGCCTAGGTCTTTTCCAGCAGAGCAGTTCTGAGCCTGTGCTGGTGATAGGGTCATAGGATGTTACTAGGCAGGCTTCTGTACAGGACTGAGTTGCCAAATAATGGGTGTTTTTCTGCTCCTTCTCAGCTTGGAGAAGGTTTAGAAATTTGGTAAATTGTCAAACCCTTGAGTCGTCATGGGATGCCATAGCCCTGCTGTGGTTTAGCTGTATGGTTCATTCAGCCATACCTGACTGAAGGTAGTGGGGTTACAAAGTATGGCATCCAAGGAAGACCCATGGGGAAGATGCAGAAGGCTAGCATCACTTTAAAATGATTTTCTAATACTCTCACCATTTGATCTACTGTTTGTTTGTGTGGCTCTTTAATTACAAAAACAAACTGAAATGAGCAGATGCCTGGATCTGCTCCCAAGTTTCCCTTTGCAGATGACTCAAGGGGAGCACCGCAGAAGGCACTGCACTTGTGCAAACCAGGAAATACAGACATTTTTGCTTCTTGAATGTGGCATGAATTTGCATATCTGTGTTGATACAGACAGAGGTGAGCAAGGGGAGAATTAAAAATCACCTATCCCGTCCCTTAGCAGGGCTTTAACTTGTGTGGACAATAGGGCACTTCATCCCATTGTAATAGTAAGGCATTGGCTGTTTTCTCTGATTTTATGTCTTCTTGGTAGCTTGCCTCTTACAGAAAGTATTTCTTCACTCTCAGATCTGTTATCAGGAATACCTGATATTCATCTTACAGTTTTCTTTTCCTATTCCAGTGAGACCAGTAACTTGAACTGCATTCACATGCATCTCATCCTAATAATACTAGTGAGGTATGCAGAGCATTTTAGACTAGTAGGAAAGTATCACCTGTGAGTGCTGTCCAGTCATCATCATATGCAGTGTGCTGGCTTACGTAGTTCCCTCTTCCCCTGAATCCCATGTGCAATGAAATAAACTCCAGATACTGCAATCACCCACACAAATAATGGGCAGCACTTTCTCACTGTAATGGAGGAGCAACGTTAGAGCTGGTGTCTTTTCCAACACTACTGCCCTGTGTGGGCTTACAATACAAGCAACAACATGAAAGAAACCCTGACAAATTTAAGTAATTCTGAAGATTTTCTTACTGACAAGCTATGGTAAAACTGCTCTTAGGCTGCAGTGGGAAAAGTCTTCCTCTAATCAGATTGTTTCTGATGAATGTTTGGGTAAATGGCCTTTTAGTTTGTGGGACTGCTCTTATTACATGGCTCACGAGCAGAAAGGATGGAGAGCTGGACTGGCAAAGCAACAACATTCCTCTGAGTGCTTTTAATGAGATGGAGCTAGACCAAACCCATGGTTAACAGCTACTAAGTATTTTTCCATTATGGGTCTCCAAACACTTGACAAAGGTACATGGCCCCATTTTGCAGCAGGCTAAACAAGGCACAGAAAGGCAGCCTGACCTCGTGTGTGAGTGGAAACAAACATTTCTAAAGCCTTCCAATTTTGCCTCCCTACCCTCATTTCTGAGTCCAAAAATTACCCCAACTAGGTCTCTGTCTGTTATCAGAAATACTAATGCAGGTGTTAAAGTGGGTCAGTTCAGCTATGCATAACCATGGAGCAGTCAGTGAAGGTCGTGAGAAGCTCTGCAGCCTCTGAAACCTTCTGCTTTGCTATGGCCTCACTATTTATGGCTTGCAGCTGTAGCATGAGCTCATGAAGGGCTACAAGAACTAGTCACCTTTTCTTGCAGAATTAATAGCCCTTGTGCTACCCCTCTGACTAAAATCTCTAGAGGAATTGGAGCTGGGCTTTCTTCATGCCTAATTCACCCCTCATTTCCCCAGATTTCAATGGAAACTCTGTTTTATGGGGCTGGTAGTCTGCAAAATCTGTGATGGGTAAACATGCACTGTTCTGAGCGCCGTATGAACGCGCCAGTTGACCTATGCTGTTATATTATACCTCTCGGGCTGGGTTTTGTCTGTCTGGCTCAGAGGCTGTGGGTAGCATTTCCTTAAAAGTACAGCAGGCATCTGGGTAGAAATGGGATATAGGGAGGGAGGGAGACTGGAGGTTGAGCTGGTTTCCCTCGTTTTGATAAAGGTTCCTGCTCAGCACTGGGAGACAGGGACTCGCTCTGAAATACTTTCTTATCATTGCATGACACAACCAATTCCATCGTTCTTGGGCCAAATGAGAAACAGATGGTCACTGTGCTGAAACCAGGGCCTGCAATCTCTTTTTTTGATGCTTGGAATTCCACTTGTTCTTTTAGCGTGGGCAACTCAGTGCTACGTCTTGCCCCAAGAGGATATCCTTGGCCATCCCGTATTTCTTTCCACCCAACTTTTAGCTCTGTATTAGCCTTATGCTTCACTCTCTGCTTGCTGAAGTCAGCTGGAGTTTCTTTCTTGACCCATGGTACTTTTGGGTTGAGCTCAGCAATTCAAGTAATGGGATACAAAAGAAAATTCAGATCAGGCAACTGAGCTTTGTCCTGAGCACTCTCCAAAAGGGTTATTTATTGGTGTGTACTGATAGGATCTCAGCACACAGAGAATAAAAGAGATGTGCACTGGGATGGGGAAGATGAAAAGGACATTCATAAGTGTTATTTAGTATAAACAGCTTCAACTTTTCTCATCTCCCTGTCCTGAATCTGAACATCTGACCTGACAAACTGGCTCCTCTCTCCTCTCCCTGTCCCCTTCACCCTGTCCTGTCTGCTAACCTTGCTCTGCTGCCTGGCATGGAGGCAGCTTGTGTTTAGCTTTGCAGTCTCTCCGTGTTTAAAGTTCCATAGGTGATTTATCATCCTGTTTATAAATGAAGGGTTAAACTCACTCTCTTTCGGTTTAAATTGTATGATTCTCCTGGCAAGCTCTCGCTCAACTCTGGCTCAAACTGGCCAAATATGGTGTTTTTCTACATGTTGAGGACTGGCCCTATATGTAGTAGAGCTCATTCTGTCAGCCTGGGGAGGGTGGGTTTGCTGATCGTGGGAACTGAGGGAGAAAGAGAAAGGGAGAGAAAGGGAATAAGTCCAGCTGATAGAGGGGATAGGTTCCCATCTAGTCCCCATCTGTAAGAAAGGAGCTAGTTTGGGGGAGAATTATGCCATTGAAAGCAGAAATGGGGCTACTCCCAGGGTAGGGAGGACCCTATATTTGAGGGCAACACATAGAATCGTAGAATGGCTTGGGTTGGAAGGGACCTCAAGGGTTATCAGTTTCCAATCCCTCTTTCGAAGGCAGGTTTGCCAACTATTAGACCAAGTACTGCCAGGTTGTGCAGCGCCCCATCCAACCTGACCTCGAACACCTCCAGGGACAGAGCATCCACAGCCTCTCTGGGCAAACTGTACCAGCACCTCACCACTCTCTCAGTAAAAATTTCCCCTAACATCTAATCTACATCTCCACTCCTTTACTTTAAAACCATTCCCCCTTTTCCTGTCACTATTTAGCTGTGTAAGAAGGTGATTTATCTCAAGTTTATAAATTCCCTTTAAATACTGGAAAGCCAGAAGAGGTCCCCCTGCAGCCTTCTCTTTTCCAGGCTAAACAGCCCCAGTTCCTTCAGCCTATCTTCAAAGTAGAGGTGCTCCAGCCCTTGGATCACCTTCATGCTCTCATTTGATTCCAGGACATAATGTCTGCTAGAAGCTTCCAGGAGTAAGGGTGGCTAGCCAGAGTGTGTGAAACACCTGACTGGGGGGAACTGCAGTTGAAAACTCTCAGATTCAGTCCAGGGTAGGATTATTCCTTCTCCTCCAGTGCTGTGGAACAAACAGATGTTTTGGAGACTCAAAACACACATCTGACATGTTGGGTGCCAGACAAAATGACACCTGTTTCTTTATGATTCAGTGTCTTGATCAAAACATCGGATCAATGTTTTACCCTGGTTTAGATGGTTATTAATAGCTTTTTCCCATGTGGCCATCTGGTTGTATTAATGAGGACTTAAGTTCCAACTCTTTCCCTGGCTCCAGAACGTGTTTGAATTTATCCTTTCATTGCTGCCTAATTTCCTGAAAATTGAGGTGATCTTTTCCTTCTGCCAAATTTTGGTATAAATTAACCAACAAATGGGAAAACATTGGGAAGCCAGAGGAAGCCAGATCTGACAAACACACAGATATGTACTGAACAAGGCCAGATTATCCTTGTTTCCTCTATTATGAACCTGCAAAAAGTTTACTAAATCTTTCCTCAGCACATCTTTTTATTTAGATCTTCCCTACACAGTCCCAATGCATCGAAACACTGCAAACATGTTAGATGTCTTCTTTTCAAAGAAAGAACTTGGCTTGCTTCATTATTTGCCTAACATTAAATAATTTCAGATTTGTACCAATTAATATGTTACTTCTGGCAGAACCAGCCTAGCTGGGGATAGATGGTAACTGATTGCCTGAAGACCATGATGGTCAGCATGTCCCACCTTGTCCCATGGTTTGAAGAACCATGAGCTTAATTCCTGCCTTTTCCTGGAGCCCAGAGGAAGGTGTAAAAACACTTCTCATGCCAGTGAGAGGGATTAACACCCACCCACCCAAACTTCTACATTTTTCTGGTTTTATTTGAGAATCAGATATCCCATCTGGGCAATGGAAAAACTTGAACGTCCAGTCCCAAGGCATGGCCGGATGCTGTCCTTCAGGCCATGTAAGCAATCACAGCCTAAGGATGTGTACTGGGGGGATAATGCAATGTTGGTTTGGAGGTTGATGTTGCTTTTAAACCATTTGCCTCCTGTCTGATGGTGCCAGTGAGGCTACATGTGGTTCTCCATCTCCAAGGCACTGCCTTGGGTGTTGCCATGAGCTGTAATTTGATTTCTACCCCACCTCATTCATAGTTGAATGTTGTGTGCACACAGGTGTACCCCATGCTCTCTAGGAAACCCAATGCCAAAATCAGGTCCTCTGTGCACAAAGAATCCAACTTTCAGGTTTGGCTGGTGATGAGTAATAGCCTGTGGGTGGCTGTGCAATAATTTAGTCCAACAGGTCATCCAAGTCCATGAAAGATCCCTTCCACTTAGAAGAGGGGGAACGTAACCCTCCAAACTGCGTTCCTCTTCTTCATGGAGCAAAATGACCGGGAGGGATGTTGCCTGGCTTGAACTGTCTGCTCTCTACATATGGGCTTAAGTTGGCTGTTTAACACCAGCTGATGGATCACCAGTCCGTGACACCCCAGAGACAATCTATTTTAAATCCAAAAACTGCTGCATGGTCGTCTTTCAACTCTGTCCTGAGCATGCATGAAAAATATGGAATGAAGCTCCCAAAGGTACACAGAGCAAGCAATTAATGTGCTGGCAGATTTCTTCAGAGCTTAGAACTCATCTATATCCATTTGCAACACTAATGCCGCAGGCTTTGAAAGAGGGAGCCTAGATGTATGTATAAAGTGAACAAAGACGTGGGATACAAAGACGTATGCACAGATTGCAGGTCTTCTGCCTGCCTCTCTGGACCCACACATGTGCACCCATTCACAGTGGGCACCCAGAGGTCCTTCATCATGTTTTGATGAAGCTTACTTGTACAGATCACCTTAGGAATGCTAACAGAGGCTTTACACCTCCACTTGCTTGTTTCTGTCTCACTGTATGATAAAGTCCCTCCTGAAACATTTAGATGTCTACAATGACTTATGGATTCTGTGGCATTTTCCGTGTCTTGCTTTTCTACTCTACCAGATCCTGGCCTCGGAGTGATGGAATTCCTAAATGTATTAGTGAATTCTCTACAAATCATGTTGTTAGCATTTCAAGGCTCTGGGCAGCCTGGTCTAGTGGTTGGTGACCTTGCACATAGCTAGGGGGTTTAAACTAGATGATCATTATGGTCCTTTTCAACCCAGGCCATTCTATAATTCTATGATCTCATAACCTGCCATGACTAGTACCAAGTGCCATCTGTCATCTGCGTCTCCACAGTAGACTCTAAGAGAAATCAGAGCATGACTTCCTTCTTGTATTCCTCTCTATCCTTTGTGGATGAGTGTAATATGAGGGGAAAGTACATTCTTTTTGGGAAAAAAAAAAAATTACTAGCAGTTTTATTTTTGTTCAGAGCTAAATGTGGAAAGAAACTTGTGGATTTGGAGTCTTGTAGAGCTAGCCAGTAGAAATGAAATTGTGCCGGTCTTCTTGGGAGGTTGTAACATTACAAGAGAAATGTATTTGAGTTTTTGGGGATTACAGTAATCCATCTAGCCTTTCAAGGGTGCCTAGGACGCAGTGCTAGAAATGTCAGTTTGGAATAAAAATGATTGTGGCTGTGCACGAGGAGAGCCCTGCAGTGAGAATTACTACATTGGCACAGAGAAAAACTTCACAGTGCAAAAGCACTGCAGGAGTTAAAACAGAGCAACATCAGGTCTGTGTGTTGCTGCTTGCATTTTGAAAAGGAAATTCTTAATTGCAAATGTAGTTGTCTGTGAGCACTTTTCCCTTTTTCTGCTTTCAGCTGTCTGCTGGCTCCATCCCTTGCCAAGAAGCCTTAGCAGGACAATGGGGGAAGAGCAGCAGCGAAGTTTTGCTGTCAGGATGTACCTGGGGCTCTGTATGGTCCAGAACAGAAGAAAGCCGGGCTCAGTCCCCAGAGAGCACTGGTGATGGAGGTGATACAAATGCAGGTGGGAGCCAGGGGGACTGAGCAGGAGGAATCCCAGGGTAGATTATCAGATCTTAACCCTTTTGGAGGCTGGTTGCTATGGTTTCCCGTGTTAGGCACTTTAGTCACTGCACTGTGCAGATAGAACCCCCAGTGCCTTTGGGGATTTGCGAGTTTTGGATTAAACAGATTAACCTGGAAAAAAGCTGAGGTGTTAGCAGGTGTATTACTATTAAAGCATTTCTTAAGAAGTGTTGTTAAGGATCTTGGAGAGAATCTTCTTCTCCTTAGGATAAGAATCAGCACAGCCATAGATAAAACAACCCCCAACCCTGGCAACCTTGTTCCCAGCAATGCATTGTCTCCTTTTCTGGCTTCAGAAGCCTGCATACAGGTCATTATAGAATCAGAATCACCAAGGTTGAAAAAGACCACTCAGATCATCCAGTGCAACCATCAACTCATCACCACTATATCCACTAAACCATGTCAAGGAATACGTACACAAACAAGACATCACCCCATTCCTCACAAGAGCTGGCATAGTATTTTTCACCAGGGGGAAGCCAGCACCTTCACACATCTTTCATCACCCCCATCTCCTTGGGGAACAAACAAATAGCATCACACTGCCCTCAAACCCCAGAACAGAGAAACTCACAATGCAAAAACCTCCTTGCAGCCCCACTGTCTCAATGGGCACCTCCTGGTGAACTTCCACACCTGCAGCAAGAACAGAACTATGGACACCTTGCATGTGTTCAGCAAGGTGCCATCCCACCTTCCAGGGCTCTATGATAGCCATGCTTTCCATTCTAAGTTTGGGCTCAGGTCTTCAGTGACTCCCTCCTGTCCCCTTACTGTTACCTCTTCCACATTGTACTCCCCTGTTCCACTTTGACCAGTGTCCCAAAGCATCTGCTGCTGCAATCCTGATATATTCCTCCACCAGGACTGACTTACCTCTGGCCCGATCTCCCTTCTATGTTTGAAGAGCTGCTGGTAAGAAAATTTCCTTGTGGACTTGAATGCTATCGCCCCAGGAAAGAGGCATCTGTTCCTACAAGCAGAACTGGAGTGACTACAGAATATGAAGAAATGCCTAATCTCTCTCTCTCTCTCTCTCTCTGTCTCCCCCCTTCTCTTCTAAATATAGCTTTGCAACTAATGGGAAAAAATACACTCTCCAAAAAAAAAAAAAAAAAAAAATTTCCACTTGTCTTTAGTGTTCAGAATTTCTCCCGAAACATCTGGCTCCTTGCCCTAAATCTCTCTGAAATTTATGAAGTGTTGGAAACACGAAAGGGAGCTCCAGCCTTGCTCGCAGTGAACATCTCTACTAAACTAATATTGGTGTTGCTGTACCACCTGCCCCCTCCCCAGGTCTATTTTCCTATGTCTCTGTGGGAATGAAATCTCCTTACTGAGAACACTATCAGCTCAAGGCCACAGCAATGTCACAGGAGGAAAATACTTCTCTTTTCATCTTCTCGATATGATCTGGGATTAGACAGAAGTCCTCAGTATTTTCAGGAAGAATCAGATGTTGAACCAAGCTGTCCAGACCCTAAGAAAGAACCTGGCAGAGGGAGATGAAGCGTGACCTTACATGTTTTGATGACTACTGGCTCCAGTCATTAGAAAGAGATGTTAATCATCTCTGCCCATGGACTAAGTTGAAGCTGTTGAGTGTAGATGAGTTGAGGTTCCACCACAAAGACCCCCAACACATTTCTCCATCCTCATCCTGCCCTTCCATACTAGTGGTAGAATCATTGTAGTTATCAAAGCAGAGAGTTGTGTGTTCTCACACCCCTGACTGCAGTATGGAGCCAGGAGTTGGACTGTGATCCTTATGGGTCCCTTTCACCTCAGGATACTCTGTGATTGTATGAAACAGCATAGCAAAGTATCACTATGCTGAGATGGGCTCAAGGTAAAGGACCATTTTTCAAGATGTCCCTGTTGACCAGTACTGTAAGAACTCAGATCTCTTAAAGCCCCTAAAATCCCACTCATGAAATGATGCTTTTCTGTCTAAATAGGATACCAAAAAAGCCATATTTGGTGGGGTGAGGCTCTAAGGGGGCCTAGACAGATGTTATTTCAAGGAAGTTTTGCAGTAGATTTGGAGATCCCTCCTGGGAAAAAGGACAGAGAAAAATAGAGACGTTATCGCAAATTTAGTTATTTAAGAGGACAGGGAGAATGGGTAGGATTTTAGTGTCAGCCCTGACTGTTTTTTTCCTCACTAATTTAGATAAAGACAACACTGATGCCAACACAATAAACATGAAGGATATGGCCCATAACAACACAACGGGATCAACTGAGAGGCATTGAATTCCAGGTCAAGAGGCCAAATCCATAAATAGAGGAGAGGTAGACTCCACACGTGTCTCACTGGAGCACAAACAGTAGCTATGGATATTAGAGAAAGTTGACCTCATTTTCTGGAATTAGTTTTTCGCCCTTGAATCTTTCCCAGGAAAACTGAGCTGATTTTTTTTTTTTTTTTTTGTCAGGATATTTTATTGATTTCCTATTTTGAGTTTCCTCACAACGAGCGCCAGATTCTTCCTCCAGTTTCAGGAACATCCTGCTTGATTATCTGTGCACACTGATCCAGACATCCAGCCTTTCACAACTATCCTTCAGCTCAGCCACGTGCCTTGGATCTCATCTGCTTTTCACTTCCTTATGATTTGGAAAGGGAGTGTGATTGCAAGGCCTCCATGAGTCATCTCTAGATAATAAACTTGCTTTCACTTCCTTCATTCTTGGGGATTTATCAAGGGGAAGAATGAAAAAGAACCCACCTGTTTGTTCTTATTGTCTATGGTGACAAGCATTTATGTTTTCCCCAATCTGCCAACAAAGCTCTCTGGATGTACAAATGCAAGACTGTAAAAAGAAAGGAGACCTTTCTCCAGAATGAGTTATTGATACCTACATTCTGTTCATGTGCCCAGTCATTCTTATATGACGACTAGTTTGTATTTGTTCTCCTGTGTAATGCATGTGAGCTTTGTTCCCATCCCTTGTGCATGGGATAATCAGTGGCCTGCACTCCCCCACTATCTCAGCTTCTCTCTCCTTGCCGAATTTAGAGCTAGACTTATAGTGGCAACAGCTGCAAAGTTTCAAGTTGTGCCTGAGATAGAGCAGAACATGCCATATTGGGAAGCAAATGCTGTTGTTAAGGTGGAGAAGGCACATCCGGGTTCTGGGCCACACTTTGTCCCACACACGGTTCCCACACTTGACTTCAGGAGGAGTTGTAATTGTAGCCGATGAAACTTCTATCGTCTCTCTTTTCAGATTTTATGATGCTCCCAAAGGGAGAAGGAAGGTAGAAAAAAAAAAAGAAAAAAGGAAAGCTTTAATAAGTGGAAAATTTTCAAGCTTGCTGGCTGAATATGCAACAATATTAAATATTGCAGTGGGTGTCTTGACGTTGTAAGTGGAAGACGGCACTTACCAGCTAAAATGAGCATGTTGGAGAAGGAATAATGGTCAGGACAGGAAAGGGTGCTGCTGGCCCATAATAATACCTCCTAATCCATTAACATTAGCATATAAAATAGAGATGGGATGGGGGGGCTCCATTTAAAAGCACAAAGTGTCAAAGCAGGAGGTGAGGCAGCTCTGGAAAAGGGGATGAGGAGGTTGATACCATTCACCACCCTGGGAGATATCTTCTCTGTTTTTGTCAGGAGAAGGGAATTCTTTTCCAGTCATATTCAAAGAGCAGAGCTGAGTTACCCTTCAAGATTGAGACTGGGCTCAGTATAATGAATTTTTGAACTGCCAAGATGGGCAGGATCGGCTCTCAAGATATTTCTGTTGACCAACTCTATAAGGATCCAAACAAGACTTGTTTGGGTCGTGCCTGTTTTTGTCAAGTTGAATTTACTCTCTATTTTACTGAATAGATCCTCAGAAATTCATTCACCAGTGGTGAAGGAGAGCTTCTACCCAAGAAGGTCCTGGACCCAGATCTGGCAGAATCAGAGCTCCAAAAGTTGAGGAGCCCTCACCTGTGGTCATGGAGGACAGTGAAGGATAGGATCTTCACTATATGAAGAGCCCAAGAAGTATGGGATCTTATCTATCTGGGAATCCTCTTTTAATTAGCTACTTCAAAGAACATGAACTCACATGCCTGTACACAACCTCCATTGAACATTTTCTGATTTTCCCACCAACACAAATGTTCCTGAAATGTTTGTCCACTGTCTTGCTCTTCTATCAGGCAGCAGAAAAATCAGAAAGGAAAGTGGCCAAGGAAATGGCCAAGATCACAAACTTTAGCATATCTTCATAAGTCTGCTTGCAGGAAAGGTTGTCCAGCTCATGTAGATGCAGGGTTGATGAAGTGGTCTACTCCCTGCCATGTGAGTGAATCCATTATCACAGCAGGAAAAGTCAATTGCATGGAAGAGAGTCTACATTCCTTTTACCCTCCACAACAGCTCATCCCTCCAATTAATCTGTCCCTGAATATCCAGAGGCCTTAATAATCTCTGGAAAACACTCATGTATATCCCTATGGTATGTGCTGAACACTAGCTCTGCATTCTTAATTCACTACAGCCTAAATGGCTGTTGTGAGATGCTATGAATCAGATGCAGAACTGAAGACTCAGAGAACTGGTTTGATTCCCACAGATGGTCCAAGGGTAGAAAGGAGTCACCTTTCACAGAGGGCAATTGCCAAGAAAGCTCAACATAGCATTTGGGTTAGGGTAAAATCTGCGGACACTGAAACTCCTAAAAAATGTGTAGGAATGTCCTTCATTTCAAAGGGGCCCAGCTAACCCCATCATGCTTCCTTACCATTAACGAGTGAGACGTGTGTTCCTTTCCCCTGGAAGGAAAGCCTTGGACAGCAGTGTGGGAACATTGTCAAAGGATAAGGAACAAAACACTGGCTTCTGTCCCAGCCCTGCTGCTGAATATAATGGAGCAGAACACGGTCTAACAGGTGCCAAGCTCCTGCCAGATGGATGACAGCACCTGCCCTAACATTTACTAACATGAGAATGGGGGAGAGAAGCAGCTATTTGGTGGGAACAACTTGTAGCTATACAGACGTAGTGGGGCTGAGAGGGACCAGGAGGAACACCTGACTCCTCATCCTATACCCAGCTCTGACTCTGCTTGTGCACAAGGGTTGGAAACACAGCAAGATTGGCAGGTAAATGGAATTGCACAGGAGATCAGGTGGAGTCTGTGCCCTTCCCTCATTCTTGCTCCATGACCAGTGCAGAAAGAGAAAAATCCCTTCTCTTCTTAACTCACAAACTGGTGCTTGGCAAAAGGAGTTGTGGCAATTGTGTGCATCTGGGTTTTCCCTGGACACTTTTGCAGAATCCATGGGAAGCCTACTTGAAACAGCCAAGAGTCTTTCCCCTTCATTAGGAAACATATTAGCAGAGGTTCAGGTTTGATATTAGGAAAAAGTTATTCTCAAGAGTGGTAATGCATTGGATCAGGCTGCCCAGAGAAGTGATGGAGTCATTGTCTCTGGAAATGTTAAAGAAAAGGGTAGATGTGGCACTGAGTGTCATGGCTAGTAGGCGTGGTGGTGACAGGTTAACAATTGGACTGGAATGATCTTAGAGGTCCTTTCCAACCTTAATGATAGCTGGATTCAAAATTGTTGGTAGCCAGCTTTGGGCTCACGGCATTTTTTTCTTTGAAGCCTAGCAGAGGGAGATGTGTCTTTAGCTTCTGGTCTGTTGAGAGGTCATTCTTTGCTATTCTTGGATATAATGATTGAAGCATGCTGCGTAGGGCTGTTTGGAAGATCAGAGATCCCCTTGGAATCTTAGCTCTGAAACATTCATGATAGCTAAGCCTAAAGTGGTAGCTGGAGGGGTTGTAGGGAAAGATAAGAGCTCTTTGCACTGAACTCTAGACAAAACCCACAGGGAAGAGACAACCTTTGTCTCCTAGAACTTGTACCTGCAATGCCCGGGGACAAAAGCATAAAAGGAGCAGAAAAACACAGCCATCTTCTGCCCAGAGAAAGAAAGCATCCAGCTGCTTCCCCTGGCCGTGTTCAGCATCTCAGGACTGATAGCATGACTCTCAGCATGAGAAACAGACTGTGTTGAGCTATAAAAACGACCCAGCTGCCCCTATAATCACAGTTTGTAGGGGCAGCTGTACCTACCTGACACAAGAGGCTCAGCAAAGAGCAGTCAGTTTCCCATGCCAAGGCACTACTCCAAGATCCCAGCCACTTCCCAGAACCCACTTACCATCTGCAGAGAATTGCAAAGGTCAGAGGGACCATTATCCATGGCCCTGCCACTGAACAGGCTCTCATCTACGTCTTTAGGCAGGGAGGGAGATCAGACAGTTGCCATATGGGGGGTTCCTGCTGATGGGATCCAGCTGTGATTTGTCTGTTTGATGAGGAACAGGGAAAGACAAGTGGTTCTCAGAGGAACCACTTGTTGGGTGAGTCAGGCATGGGAGAGAAAGAGTGCAAGAGCCAGTTTCCTGCCTGCCTGCTGCATTTTTAGGAATTGACTTTTCTGACCATTATCTCCCCCTGCATTTCTCTCCCCTGTTCACACCAGTGAGGTTTCCAGCATGGATCCTCAATCAATTAATCAACAAAATGAGCTGGAGAGACCTTTGGCAGCCCAGCAAGCATGTCATGTCTCAACAAACCCTTGCTATCCAACCTCAGTTGAGATCCCTTACAATGTCCCACTCCTACCTTTGTGTCCCCCCAGCCCACTTCTGGCCAGCAGCCACTTCTTGCTTTTTAAAACTTTTTTCTTCCAGCTATTTTTCTCAAAGTCTAATTGCCAAGAACACGATGTCCAGCATCACAACCTCACCCCATTCCCAGCAAAGTAATTCCTGCTGGATTTGTTTGTCACTGGGTACACAGGCATGTTGGTGCTTGGAGGGGAATGCTACGCAGGCAGTCAGGGCTTTGGCATTTCTCGGGCACACGTGCTTGAGGAGGTTGGGCCCTATGGAGTGGCTTTTTCCCAGCAGGAATCAGTAGGAAATTAGGGATACCTGCACTTGAGGGTTGCCCCTGAGTACCTCTCAGTGCTCTACTCTTGTGTTTGGAGTGATGAAAAGCACAGTGTGGTAGGGCTGAGCCAGAAAACCTCAAATTGAGCACAGGAATGGGTTATCCAGAGAGGCTGTGGGGTTTGCATCCTTGGAGATTTCCAAAAGCTGCATGGACATGGTCCTGGGCACCCTTCTGAAGGTGTTGCTGCTTGAGCAGGGTTGGACCACATGGACTTAGAGTTCCCTTCCAATTTCAACCATACTGTGATTCTGTGATTTTGTGAGCTCAAGATGAGGCTGTAGAGGTGGGGTACTGAGGACAGCAAGGACATTCACAGACACATAGCAAGCAAGCAGCAGGGACCTTAGGGGACCAATCTGCTACCTCCACCTGCTTTGATTTAGCAGACCTGGCAAAGAGCAGTGAGATGCTTCCAGGACCATCTGTTCAACACTGGGGTTCTTTGCCATACAAGCAAGATGTAGCCTTACCCACACCCTGATGCCAAACAGAATCACAACAACCAGGAGGAAGGATGACAACTCAGAAAATCTGCTTTTTGGCTCCATGCTCCTCAAATGGCTTTAGAGAAAATCACATAGCCTCCCTGCTCTCTCTCTGCAAACTGAGCATGCTAATCATCCTCTCCCATCCTCTTTGTTTGCCTGGTTTGTAGAGATTGTGAAGGCTCACGGCAGGGCTGGTTTTTGTTAGATGTACACAGAGCTCAGCGATGCTCTGATCTGGAACAGGGCAGCATAAATCTGGCAGATTATCATAGGAAATTCCACAGTGATGAAAAACTCTATAGAAACACGAAGAAAGGAAAGAGCCCCATTTGGAAAAAAAAAAACCAAAAACAACCCAACAAAAAAACAACAAACAAACAAAAAAAAAACAGAAAAAAAAAAAAAAAAAACAACAAAAAACAGCCCTGTTTCTGCTGCCTGGTTACAAGTAATTCTTAAAATTGCTGCCTCTGGAAGGAGCTGGTACATTTTCTCATTTTTGTTATTTTGCAGGGGGTGTTTTTCTTTGTGTTTTCAGCAGTTTGGAATTACAGGTTCCATCGCTGCAGGCAAGTACTGCATCTAGGGATTAGGCTTAATATGGATGTGTACTCAGTGACTGTCCCAGATCCTGATGGTCCAAACGTACAGATCTCCTTGGGTCAGGGTCGAACTGATGTCATCTAGCTGGGCTTGTGCAAAGCCTTTGACCTGATCCCACACCACATCCTTATCTCTAAATCAGAGAGATGTGGATTTGAAGAATGGACTACTTGGTGGATAAGGAATTGTTTGGATTGCTTCAGCCAGAGGGTTGTGGTCAATGAGTCTATGCCCAGGTGGAGGTCAGTCACAAGTGGTGTCCCTCAGATGTCTGTCTTGGGATCAGTACTCTTCAACATCTTTATCAGTGACTTAGGTGATGGGATCGAGTGCATCCTCAGCCATTCTATGATTCTGTGATTCCATGATTCTATGACAACTATGCTTGTGTCTCCTAGGGCTGCTTTCCTTAGAGGACAGCAGAAGTATAGGTAGCTGTAGGATCACCTCACAGTGCTGGAGGCAGAGTTTAGTCCCACGGCTGTAATACAATCCACCTTCCTTTGGGCAAATTCCACTGGCTTCTTTAAAACAAAAAATCCAGCCTACTTTGGTTGCTAAACTGGGCTCTGCTTCTTTGGGTGTCTTTCCATTTTCCAAGAAAAATAAACTGCAGGCTCTGTATTTTTAGATATGCCATCTGATCGCAGCCAGCCATATATCAGTCCCAACACTGTGAGTCAAGATGCTGAGCTCCAGAGCAGAGCTCCCTTGGGCATGAACAAGTGGCTCGAGCCATCCTGAATATATTAATAAAGTAGCACGTGTAAAATAATCATGCACTTTCCTAGGTAAGCAGCTCACAAGGAATCATACAGTTGGAATTTATTGCTGCTGGTGTCCTAGTAGCTCCGATTCTTTGGGTGAATTTAGTACTGCACTGAGTGGAAGGCGAGCAGCCCTGGTATGAGACAGCCCTAATCTAGCAGGGGCCACAGGCAGCACTGCTCCCCTTCCTCTCCCTGTCCCAACAGTGAGTGGCTCCTGATGTCTGCTCCTTGCTATTTCAGTCCTGGGAATCCTCTGGGGTGGCTGCTGGTCAGAGCAAGCTCTGCATTTCCTTGCAGCAGGATCTGACAGTTGAGTGACCTCAATCTGTATGGCTGAGATATGCAAAGCCTACTCACGTCTTTGAGCTGGATGATGGAGTCCCTTCCAACTTGGGATATTCTATGGTTCTATGATTCTGCAATTCTCTTCCAGCAATGCTGAACTTATTTGTGAGTGGTAGGACAAGGAGTATCTTGGAAACAACATGTTTCTTCATGCAATCTTATTTCATGCAAACCTGCCCTGTGCAACCTTCCACCATGACCAAGAGAAGTTGTGGATGCCCTAGATGATCTTTTAGGTCCCTTCCAACCGAATGCATTCTACAATGAAGGTCCTACGACCCAGCCTTGCAAGTGTCTGCTCAACTTACCCTGCACAGATGTGGAGTTATCAGCCTATTAGAAATCTCTATCCCTTGCCAACTTCTTTCAGCTCTCACAAGTCTGTCTCTAACACCAGTGCAGCCTGGAGATGATTTTCTGTATATTTTATCAAAGCTGTGGGAAGCCTTGAGCCTGCTGTGTAAAGAATGGCCTGCCTTGTTCCTGATAGCTTGTTTGCTGTGCTGCTTCATCACTCTAATGACAATCAATTTATCCACATAACTGGTTGCTGAAGACAGTAACATGCCTTGACAGCCTGGATTTTTCCTGCAGATGTATTGCTTGGCATATTCAACCAAGGCAAAAAGAGACAGCCTGCCAGCTGAAGGATTGCAACTCTGTGTGACCACCCAGATTTCCCTCTGCATCCTGCCTGATGAGCACCTTAGTGTCCCCTCCTGCTGTGCCCAGGTGCCCATTTTGCTATGTCCTTCTGGGATCATTGCTCCAAGAGGACCTTGATGGGCTCCAAACACTTGCTGTGGTCTCTGTATGGGATCTGCGTGCTCAGAGCTCTGTGCTGTTTAACCTTACTAATGCCTACCTGGGTCATGGTGGTGTTGAACTGATAGTTGGGCAATATGATCTTACAGTTCTTTTCCAGCCTTAATGAGTCTATGATTCTAGGGTTCTCTGAACAAGGTACTCAGATAGAGGTATTTGTAGATGCTCTGGATGAATCAGAGAACTTCAGCAAACCCTCACAGCGTCCCCATCCACAAGGCCAAAGCTTACTTGTGACAGCTTCTCTATGGGACAAGCCCTGAAAGAGACCCTAATCCATCTCTGTGGGCGTCCCAGAGAGAATCATAGAATCATAATGGTTGAAAAAGACCTCTGAGATCATCTAGTCCAACTGTTGATGGATTCCCACCATCCCCACCACAGAGCTGACAACCTCAGCACATACAGTTGATGGGGTGCTGTCAACAAGAGCCATACTCCAGCTTGTTAGCTTTAGGGGCATTTCATAGAGCCCCATGTTTTTTTTCTGGCAGATATTTATACAGCAGGCAGCTGGAGCTGTGAAGAAAAGGGGACATTTGGTAGCAAATCTTTTTGTACGGGTGCAGAAGTCATCACCCTTTCTGTTGTGTGATAATGGCTCTGATGGCACTTTTGAGACTTTGATAGATGAGTTGCACATCTTTTATGGATTAAGTGTAAGAAGTAATAAAAAATCCAGTTCCTCTGTGTCTAGATACAAATGGCATATTGATCTCAGTAAATATAAGGATGAGATTTAATGGCAGTGTCCCTGGTTAATTTCATCCTAACGGCTGACATCTTTTCTTTGAGTGTCACAGATCAGCTCAGACAACCCCATCTGACCCACAGCTTCATCTTTCAGTTTCCACGATTCACCTTCCATGTCAGCCCAATTTCTTCCACCTCTGGGTTTGATCAATCTCGACTGGACTCTGCTGTGACCTCCTGGAAGGGAAGAGTTTCTTTACTAACCAGTGAATAGGATTTTCTCATGGGAATCCTTAGTTGTTTTGAGTTAAGCGCTATAAATTAAAACACAGGTGTGAAAAATGGAGGGGAGTTGAATGAGAAAGCACGAAGAGGTGGCAAGATCCTTACAGTGTTTACAGTAATTACAGGAGGGCTGGCAAAGAAGCAGCAGGTGTTCCTCAGGGGGGTCTATGGATTTTGCCCTAGATGTTAAAGGATATTTTCTGAGACACACATTGAGGTGATAAATGTTTTCA